GGTGCATTTCCGCTGTAGACATAATTTGCATGTTACAAGATCCACTATGAGTTATTGTTATAGAGAATTAATATGAACATTTTATTCATCTCATTATATAAACAGTAAATACAAGCAAAACCTTTTTCCTGTTTATTTATGTCAGGTTTTTATTGAAAACCTTGATCCAAATGCATTGTTTTTGCTAGAAAAAAAGTGAGCTCAGCGACTAATTTCAGCTTTGGGCCCTTATAGGGTCTTATTAATACACACAAATGAACTATTGCTCTCACAATTTTGGAAATGTCATTTTCTGATTAAGGCAATCTTCAGAGAGAAGTTATTTATATTCAGAAAATAACTCAGAAAATAGTTATTTATATTCATGACAGAATTATAAATGAGAGTTTGCTTAAGTCAACAGTCAGCAGATAGCATACAAATGAAATTAAACACCATAGTGTCTCGATCCAAGAGTCAAATGCACAGCCAGTTCAGTATCTGCAGTCATTTCTTATATGGTTAACGTCGATTTGCTGCTTCCTCCATTAGGAAACCACTGAACAAAAGAGTGATTCAGGGAGTCTCTAATCATTTAGACGTTTCCAGGGCCGTGGCTTGATTTCAAAATAATAAGGGTGGGTCTCGTGCTTGTATGTTCAGCAGTGTTAAAATGTGTTTTATAGTCATTTCTGATGATAGGACATGGGGAAAACATTTCCCCCGCACTTCTAGAAGAGTGTCTCAATGGTTTTTAAGCACTTCAAATACATCACACTATTGGAGATATACTGACATACAATGACAAATCAGCAATAAACAAATCAGGTCAGACAATCACAATATCATATAGCTTTGTGGAAATGGATTCTACAGTGTATTGAAGTCTGTTTACAGTTAAGACAGTGCAAAGGTAATTGTTTTTAAGTGTGGTTGTCAATGTACCATATAACCATACATTTTCTTTGTTTCCTTCATGGGGAAAGAGCAACGCGTCACCCGTTCTGTTTCCTTTCTTCTCTGTAATGTTGCATAAAACACTCCACATACACACTATATAACAGTAAATAATAGATAAGAATGTTTAATTAAGAATATAAATAAATGTGGTAACACTTTAGTTTAGGGATCAATTCTCACTATTAACTAGTT